AATGTCACAAGGATTTTACTGTGCGGTTGAGGTGTTAGAAAATTTTGAAAATTAGCTGTTGATGAAAATAACAGGTAGCCAAAAGTATTGCTGTATTTTTGTTTTTTTATTGCTTTTATTAAATAGGCCGAAGTTAGTTGAGTGTTTGGTCAATTAAGTCCCTGAAATAAAAGAGAAAGTAAGAATAACTTGATAAATTTGTTTAACAAAATTTTATAGACTGAAAATAATATAAAAAAGTTGTGTGTCCCCCCCATATTATAGGGGTACTTTTCTGCATAATAATCTCATAGGGCAATTCTCGCTCAGCTAGTAAAAAGTCTTTCGTAAGGCGAATGATGGACAGATGACAAGAGAGTTCCTAAGCCTATTTTTATTATAGCACCAATATCTTAGAAAAAAAGCTTTCTCATTTACTCCTCATGGTGAAAAGGTATATTGAGAGAAAGCTTTTATTACTATTTAGCTCACGTCGCACAGTGGTCTGAATACGGAATCTAGCAGGACAAAACTATTTTAATAGATTGGCCACTGATTACAAATCTTCAGCCAGGTTTCAAAAATCCAATGTGGCGGACAAATTTTTAAAAATTTATTGAATTTATTGAATCTTTTACTTACCAGAAAAAAACTTCTATTCAGTAAAAAAAAAAAACGAAATGTTTGCAATAGACGCACTGTTACACCTTTAATAGGTAATCGAAATCGTACAAAAAAAAAACGGGTCTCTGCTACAGCTACTAACTGACTTGCATCGACTAGTAAAAGAAGTCAAAAAACAAAAAGTTTTGCAATTATCTATTATATTAAGAAGCAAGCCATGACATTTGGACTTTGGTTTTTACATTTTGTCCCGCAGATTTAGTGAATCCGACCTGTGTGCGTCGCTTCAACAGTTGCGGTGGTCGAGTGGACAAGGTGCTGGCGCGCCATTCGAAAAGTCAGAGTTTGAGTCCTGCGGCAGCGGATTTTTTTATTTTTTTTAATTAACATTTTTTTGAATACAATTTTTATATGTTTTAGATTTTATAGTTAGAAACTTATACTTGGTACATTTTTTCTTATTTGGACTTTTAGATGTAACTGTTTTAATTTTATTAATTTAATTTTTATGAACTCTTTTATTTTTTTCATTTTTTAGTTAAATTTTAAGATTTTATTGCTTAAAAAAGAAAATTATTTTTTTATTTAATTTTTCGAAGGTTATTTTTATATTCCTTCGTTTTTATATTCCTTTCGTTTAAAGGAAAAAAAAATAATTAACTTTATTTTTTCTTTTTTTAAATTAATTGTTTTCTTTATTAATTTTTATGGCCTTAAAAAAAAGATATATATAATTTTTTAAATTTAATTTTTTAAAAACTTATTGCTAAAAGGTATAACGCTTAGACCTCCTCGTTAGCAGATTTACAATTGTCTTCAGATTCAACTTAAAAATTCCAATAGACTTACAGCACTAAATTAGTTTCAGTCGTTCAAGAAAAAATTATTAAAGAATGTATAAGGAAACTTTGTACATATGTATAAGTATGCATATTAATAATGTTTTAAAAAATGNGCAACAAAAATGTTTTTGGAAACATTTCAACGATTGATTTACTTTTAACACAACACTTTAATTGATTTGCTTATTCACTTCTACATAAATACTAAATACATATTTTTTGTGAATAAATTCCATTTTGCGAAAATATTAATTTTGGTTATTTATTCAACGTTCTAATAGAAAATTGAAAGTAAATATTTATCTATGAACATTTTGGGATTTCATTGATTTCAATTCCACATTACTCTTAATAAATATTTTTGGAAACAGCAATCAATATTTATCAAACGTGAAAAACCGATTTGCTGAAATGTTGAATGCAGTAAATAATTTTTAATGCCTGCTGGCGGCAGAAATGCGCGGTTACTTTTAAATATAAACTAAGATAAATATTTTGTATATTATAACATGAAAAATAACTCATTGCTGTCAAGTGGAAACGGGAATCATTGAAAACGAAAATCTTGAAACAGATTTCAAACAAAAAAAAAGAATAAAATGAAAATTTATATTCTATACATAGTATGTATTCTTTTCAACTTTTCCATACTGCTGCCCGTGAGAGGCATTTGTGGTCGTACATACACTGTTGTGGGGAAACAAAGCAACCAGATTCTTAAACTATATCGATTTCCTCTACGCTAGTTCATTATTGTTAAGGCAATTTTTGTTTAGTTTGTCCTTAAATGGCAATGTTGTTTTCCATAGATGACAATCAAAATTGTAATAGCATTTGTTACTTTCGTTTAGCACAACACTGTAATAAGCTAATCTGACTGAACTATAATACAGATTTTCTTTTTAGTGGAACCCGAAGCAATATACATACATATAGGGACGAAGCCCACGTCCCTACACTTGGCCAAGGCGAGGTGAGAAAACCAATAATGCGGCTTAGGTACAAAGGTACAACCAAGCAGAGGGTATAACGACTAGGCTGTTCAGAGGTGGCGACAAAAAGCTGATAGGAAGCATGTACCAGCTTTTAATCAGAATTTATCCACAAAAAGGGAAATCCGTGCTAATTATTTACCGCGAAAAAGATCCCATCGACGATACCTTGGCAAAGACTGAAGCTTTTATTGAACCAATTATCAGTGTCGCATCAGACCTGTAAAGTCCACCATTGATTCGATTTTCAGTTCTTCAAATTCTGAAAAAGACCCCGCTCCGAAAATCTCACATAGTGCCCGTCCTTTTAGACGACGCAGACACACGAACTATGACGAAGATCTATGGTCCCATACGCATTGGCGACGGGTACCGAGAAAGATAAAATGACAAACTGTATAAGCTTTTTAACGACTTGGACATAGTCAAAGGTATAAAAAAGTACATCGACTGCGCTGGTTTGTACAGATCGACAGACGGTTGTTGGTAGTTACCCGGAAAATTACAAAACTCCCCGGCATTAAGGAATCTGAAGACGAAGCCCGTGACCTTACTAGGTATTCCCGGATTGAACTTTGCTATATTCGTAAAGTAATTGCAGGGCCAATTCAGCTTAGTAGCTGGTTCTGCAATGAAATCGTTATATAAGCCTTACTATGATGAAAGTTGATCAGGCATATTCCCACATTACATTTTAAAGTGTTATAGTTAATTTCTGGAAATTTTCCGAAATCGATTTTAAACGAGCATGAATTCATGTTTACAATATACAACATACATATGTATACAGCAGCGTTTATGTTGCTTTTTAATGATTTCGTCTTTTAAGTGATCTAAATCATTAAATAATTTGAAAAATTGCTTGTTTGTATTATAACTCAATAAATTTAATTTATAGCCGCAACGGTGGCATATAACCATATAAAAGCAGAAATTTAAAAAAACATTAAAAGCAAAGTGTTTTGTAAACAAAAAACCCATAAAGTTGTAGCACTTTCTGTAGCTCACCAAATTATTTTGCACAAAATGAAGTAAAAAGAAAACATAAATAAAACAGGTTAAAAATTCCAAAAAAACAAGCATTTTGTAGACCAGCCGCAAAAAAAAAATAAATTACCCGAAATGATTATAAATTAGACAACAGCGTAAAATACTAATCTATAATTATAGCAAAGGTGTCTGGACATACAACATTGCAAGTTGATAAAAGCGTTGTAAAAACACACGTACATATACTTATATACATATGTACTTAACAATACTTACTAGAATTTAAATTAAAAATTGCTAAGGAATTCGAAGTGATCAGCAGACATCTTCGCTATTTGCGGGTCAATAGCTTTTCTACGCACACACTTGTGTTCTTACATTAATACATTCATGCAAGGGTGTAGCGAGAGAGAGGGTGTGTAGGGGAGGCTAAATGCCCCATTGCCTTTTACTGCCAAATATATGGCAATTGCCGAAATGTAATGTAAGCAAAAAAAAAGTAGAAAACTTTTGTGTACCTCACAATATTACCTTAGGAGTCCCGAAACGAAGTAGCCATCTAAAAAAAATTTAGTACTTTCGCATAAACGTATTTATTCCCTTCTTGGACGCTGCTCTTCGAAACCTAGAATATCGTTTTTTGAATCAAAATGGTATCTTATCATCCTTTAATGTACTCTTATTGGCCATACATTTTTTGTCATTGGCTGGCATAAATTTTGAAAAAAGAATTCATACATTGGATATGCTAAATTTAAAAGTCATAACCTAAACAAATATGTTTTTTGCATACTATGTAATATTATTTTGTATTTACTAAATTTTTAGCAATACGATCCCGCTGCGTTCCTTAATGTACATTTCATTATAAAAGTGTTATATTTTTACTTAATTAGTATTAGTTTAAGAATCTACGCATTTCTTTGTTAATGAAAGTATCTATGTGCATAGCAGATGGCACAAATTTTTTTTGTCCTATGCTGACTTAATCGTCTCGCTCCCATAGCTCATCTCTGGCTACGCCTCTGTATGGCATGCATACGTACATATGTATGTGGATGTGGGCATTTATGTTTGTGTATAAACATAAAATCGGTATTTTTTTAAAACAGGGCTAAGTACCAGCGCGCGCGTGGATCCATTTTCTATAATTACCCACAACATCCCACAAAAATGTATAATGGCCCATTTTTAATTAATCGATTTAGAATTTTTGCATTCGCTACTAATTGTTTATACTAAAAATATTCTTAATCGGGAATTGCGCACTTCTTGAGATTATTTCTTTTCAGCAACAGAAAATTTTTCAGCGGTTTTCCTTTTATGTGTATTTATGTGCGCCGCATGACTTTGATTCGCCTTGATAGTTGAACATACTGCACATGTACATACATACTATATTTAACTATACTGGCTATGCGTGAAATAATAACACACTGTATGAGACCAAAAAATAATAATAATAATAATAAAACGGATTCTGGTAGAAGGGACCAAACAAAAATTTGTTTATTTCAGGGGAGCTCACGGTTGTCCCTCTTCTGCATATTATTTTGATAAATCGTCATATGATTTTTACATTTTAGATACAGGATGTGTTCAGCAGCTCTATGTTAAATACTACGGGAAACATTTTTGTGGAATATTTTAATCCTCTGAAAAGTTAAAAAAAAATACCCTTCGAAAAGGCTTATAGCGGGTTTGCGCCAAAAATGAGTAAACCACAAAAATGTGTTAAGGAGTTAATTTCTTACTTTTTTACCCATATTCCAAAATTTTTCGATAACATGCTCAGTTAGATTTAATGAAATTATTTAACCATGTTTGGTAGAAATCGATCAAGGGGTTACCAAGATAAACCTATGTCGTCATAGGTGGGCGGTGCTACGCCAACTTTGCAAAAATCCATTATAATATTATTTCCTTCTAAGGGATTGTTGTGAGTATCAAATTTCGAGTTAATTAGCGAAGAAATTAGTAGCACGGTTACCGAGATATACATACATATGTATGTGATCATAAGTGGGCGTTGGCACGCCCATTTTACACAACTTTTTTATAATCATATTTCTTGCTAAGGAATTATTCCAGACATAAATTTTGAGTAAATTGAGGAAATTACTGATTTATTGCAGACTTCCAGTTTCTGTAAACTACCGTTATACGGGATGTGGGCGTGGTTATTGTCCGATCTCAAAAATGTTTAGCCCCTTGCTACATATGTTGCACCAAGCTGTGCCAAGTTGGGCGGTTACCGAGGTATACACATGTAATGATAAGTGGGTGTGGCTAGGCTTTATTTTAAATCCAACCTTTAAATATAAAGTGAGCTTTAAAGTTAATGGTTACTTCAGAAAACAGCCCTTAATCGATTTATCTTTTCATGCTGAACATTTTGACATACGTATCTACCACGGCCCCCTTAGGCTGTTACAAACAACCGTTACGTGAATAAAGTTGTGCACAAGTGCGCCCGGGTATAAAAACAATAACAAATTTTCACACCTAATATCAATGATATGTATACATATGTATGTACACGCTCGCATGTTTTCAAATAGATTCATGTAAATCTAAGAATTCATTATTCGAATTAATTTAAACATTTGTAATTAAATTAAAAATATGTGTAAATATATATACGTAAGCATGTACATACATATGTTCGATTTAAAGTAAACAAAAACGTTTTTGAAATCCGTTTGGCAGCGCGTATCCTTAACAAAGGCAATAATCATACAGGCAATCAAAGGTTTTGCGGAAAATGAAAGTGAAACATAAATAAAAAATTTTAAGCAATTGTGGTGTAAACTATTAAAATTTTCAAAGGCAGTTGTATTGTAAATAATATCTAGTATGTATGTAAATAGCACATATATGTATGTAGTTGGCTTATAGTTAGCATCCTCAATCTGGTTTTTTCGAGCATACTTTGTATGGAAGAAAATGCATGGCACTGTCAGCAAAAAAAAAAATTGTGAAAACTCAATGCTATTTTACAGCCACTTACACTTTTTTACTAAAATTTAATGGACTACAAAACTGCATATCTGAAATTTTATTAAAAAAAATTATTAACTTATTCACTAAAAGTCATTAGGATAGCGCATGCGTTTGTTGACATTTTTTTAATTTTTTTTTTTATAAAATTTTAAAATCGGATTTACACGTAGAATATGCTATATTTGTATATAAAAAAAAAACAGCAAATACCCGGCGTGCAATACGGCCAACATTTAAAAAGTAAAAATAGCTTTAAAGAGCCTTATGAAGGAAGATTTTCGAACAAATTTTCGATTTATGAAGCATTTTTTATTTTGTATAAATGTGGGAGTTAGTTCATATCTTTTCAAAAATATTTAAAAATTAGGTAGAGTGTCGGCTTTCTCCTGGCGATTTAATTTATAACTTAAACCTTGAGTATACATATCGCGCACCTCTTCAAAGATATACTAGTTCAATATTTACCTTATTTTATCAATTTAACTGAATTAAATTTTTCTATAACTAAAAAACATTTTCGCCAGTGAACTTTCCTAAACCTTTTTTAGTTTGATACCCATATTGTAAAATTCTATTTTTCTTATCATTTAAATTAAATTAAAAATTTTCAAACAGGTGGCAACCGTCAACAAAAATATTTCCTGCTGGAAGTCTTCTTAAACCTCTTTCCTTTGATAACCATATTACAATATTTACTATATCTTATCAATTTACTGAAACTGCAATTTTCAAACTGGTGGCAACTCTCTAATTTTTATTCTCATAAATCTTAAGTTAAACCTCTATCAATACATCGGTGGAAACTGCATTCGATTCAATGCATTCGTTTTCGAGTGATGCGCGTACAAACATACAGACAGACAACATGGTGTACACTTACATTTGACACCGAGTGTACATATAATGATTTGAGAAGGAAATATGAATGAATTATTTATTATCGTTTTAATACGATTATTAAGTTGAATTTTAAAAAATTCAAAGCTGATCATGGCAGGTTAAACACAATACAAATTATTACTATGTGCATACATCGAGCCTGCCGTGTATATTGGAGGAAATTAGCTCAAATGAGCAGCGAGCGATCAATCAATTCACAATTTTTGCTTTGATCGGAAAATACTTTATTCGTTATTGAACGTGCTATTATCATTGAATTTAATGTACTTATTTTTCTGTTGTATGATTATTTAATTATTTATGTTTGGGTAATTATTAAATTAGAAAATATGCTAATTCCGAATTTCCACTCACCTTCATGAAAACTATAGCCTATTCCCTTACTCCCGAATTAAGTCAGCAATAGTCCGAAGTCGTTAGCCGTATTTATAATCGGCGTTATTGCCTTGCCAACTCCATGTGAATAAAACGTTAGCATAATTTAACTGGCGAAACAAAAACCAATTGGGAACATTGTTTTTTTTTGCTTTGCATTATAATTTTCGCGATAAGGCCGAATATCTTCTGGTACTATCTTCCGGACTACTTCGGACTATTTTTCCTAAATATTTTTAATTAATAAACTTAACTTTAAAGTGGATATCCGCTCAGGAATGTATCTACATATGTATGTATGTATAATATATTACATATTTTTTTACCTTTTGGTCCCGGGTTCAGGAGAGTACTGTTCCACAAGTCACCCCATTGAAATACTGAAATCAGAAAATTTATAAATTTTTATAATTTATTATTTGACATAATTTTAACAAAACTTTATAATTATTATGTTTAGTTAATTATGCATGACTAATAGTTAAAAAAAAAGTTTAATAGAACTGGTAATATGATACAATTTTACACATGCCTATTATTTAACACATTTAATGCAGATGTACATACATACATATGTAATTCAATCACTCAAGTTGACTTGCTCCACTTGCTTTAAAATATTGAGTGCTTCGTCTTCTTCAAGTAGGTAGCAGACAGCTAAATAAACAAAAGGCGCTTGCGGCGACCGCCCAGAAATAGGTACTATCATTGAAACAAATATGCTTTTGAGATATGCTACTCGCATAAGTATCTATGTACACACATACTCTGCATTATTATTGTAATTCAATACTTTACACGCTCCCAGTATTAATTTTATTCTTAGCAGCCAAGTGATCGCATATAGCACAGATATTTATTTTCACTAATGTTTATGCGCACGCGCATATGCCCCATGGGAATGGATACATGTAGGAAACATACATACATATATACACACATCAAATAAGGCATAACATATGGAATGAAACGCGAATCTAAAGTTCATTACTTTTATTGCATCAATTGTGGCAAATGGTATTTATTTTTATATGATTCGGAGTGACTATGCAATGGAAATAACAGAAAAATCTCTTTCGATGACTGCTACTTCTGCTATGCTAATTTACGACAAAATATTTTTTTATTTCAACATATTTAGTTTGTTTAAAATTAAAATATTTCACACAAACTGGGTTGAAATTTTGAAATTCGTGCCCGTAGGACGGCTCTTAATGCTTTGAGGAGGCAATGAATCCGATGTGTCGACTGCACTCTTTTGGTCTGTGGCACGACGATCGGAGCTCTGGGCACAGAGAGTTGTTCAGAAGGTTGTCAGAGCAATAAACTTTGTTTTTGGCACCAAATGACAAAGTGATACCTAGAGTCTCCTTTAGTCGAAAGTACGTCGTTAGATTTCCTACAAGGAAACAATGGAGAGATCCAAACACTCTCTTGGGAAGCTCGGTGAAAACTTTCTAAACTGATGGCTCAAAGACTGAAAACGGTAATGGAGTTGGATGGCATCTGGACGGAAACTTCAGATGCTTTACCGCTGTGGGTGCAATTACAACGGTCTTTCAATCGAAAGTCTTTGCAATACTGAAAGTGGCAGACTGGATAATTGGCGAAAGGTGGCGCGGACATAAACTGAGAATCGCTCGAACCTCTTCAAAGTTCGTCCAGGAATGTCAGTTGAGGCTGAACTCTGTTACAAGATGGAATGAGCTTGAACTTGTGTGGGTGCCAGGACACTACGGTGTGCAAGGTAACTAACTGGCTGATGAGTTGGCGAACTGCGGTTCTCTGGAGTGCCCAATTGGACCGGAGCCAATTGTAGGGCCAAGCATGGCGGAAACGATCCGGTGCATCAAGGATCTCGTAAGCAAAACTCATGAGAGCCGTTGGTGCACTATTGACACCTGCAAAATAACTAAGTGTTTCCTGAAAAGGCCTGACAGGGTGATAGCAAAATTTCTTCCCAGACAAAGAAGGAGTGATCTACGACCGCTGGTAGGACTGATTACGGGGCACAATCCATGGGGATGACATATGGTCACCATAGGCATCATCGACGATCCACTGTGTACATCATGTTTGGAGGACGAGGATAGTACAGAACATTTTCTCTGCCGCTGTCCGGCCTTCGCCAGACTCAGATGGTACATTTTTGGGTCGGATGTACTGAGAATGGACGACGTTCTGGTTAAAAGCGCACACCCCTTCTTTGCCGGTTTATTATTGCATTTTAAATGTGCACGTAAAAGCAGCAAAGCATTCAAAGCGGAGTCTTCTAATCTTGAACTGAAGTTCTTACATACAAAAACCTGCTGATGAAAAACATCTTTCGGCCTCAACACTTTTAGTCAAAACGGCATTTTGCTAAAATCATAATTCAAATTCTTAAATAAGTTCTTACTATCAATTCGATATTTAAAATTTTTCGGCACCCCGGGATTAATGCAATGCAATCTAATTCAATACCAACTTATTTAATTTAGCACTTAAGAAAAATTCACAAAGCGCGGCACACTTCGCAAAATCACTTTCAAGTTAAAAAAAAAAAAAAAAAAACAGGGAATATGTTTACATTTTACAAACAAGTATTCCACATTTAGCAGTTGTTAATCGGGCGTATTTTACGTAGTCATATATGTATATATGCACAGACATATATGTATATATTTTCGTATGCTAATTTTTACGGTTTTAAAGTTAAAAAAAATTATTTATGAAAATGCATACCACAACATGGAAACCGCCCACTCAAATGTTTATAAGTAAAGAACAAAAGAAATTATATATACTAAATCAAATTAGCACGATAAGCGTGTAGCAACACATTATTTTATACAGAGCAGCCGTGGAAATTCAAAAGAGATAGGGAGGCATATTAAAACTCGATTTTTTTTTTTAAAGAAAACTTCAGCACTGAAAGCTTTTTACACTCAACCACATTCTAAGCATGTACATATGTATGTATGTATGTATATTTTTTAGCACCTGTCTTTAGCTATAAGTAAATTTTTCAAAACTTAATGTACACATGTTTTCACAAAGTGGCTCCTAATCCGCCACGTGTTAGGCTAGTGATACACGTGTAAACAAACAGCCAGGCGCGGCGCGTCAGATAATCAAAACCAGATGAACACAACTACAAAACAGATAGCGATAAGAAAGAAAATTCTTGAAGTCATCCATCCAGTGAGTGACTCACAAAATATTTCAATTAATTCACTAAATAAAAATATCACACTTATATAGTATTGTAAACGCGATTAATCTACATTTTTCTAATTCAATAAAAAAGTTTCTCATATGAATCACTAAATATGAAATACCTTCGACGAAAGATATCTTCAATGTTGCTGAAGTGTAAAATTCACAGCAGCGTGCGATGGAAACGTTAGCGCTGAGCGAGTGTACGTACAGAACTACAAAAAAATCGAACCAAGAGCGGTGGATTAGGCGACGATCGGTGGTTAAGTTGGCGACAATCAATGAGGTCGGTGAGTGAATACAAAATCCGGAGGCACACAATCTCTGAGCGATGCGAGTCGCAAAAGAGTGAGACTAGCGAGACAGGCGCGAGCAAGTGCAAAACAAGCGAGAATGCGGAAAATAAACTCTGAAAGAGTAAACGTGAAGGTATAAAAAGTTTTTTTTTGATTTTCTCAGTTTTTATATTCGATTGGCGTGCGACGCCTTTTTGTTTTAATTTTATTTGAAATATTTTATTTTTTTTTCACTTCTACACTACGTAACCAAGTCAATGGATCATGGCTGTATACGATATGTCCACCCAAGTCGCATGCGCATATGTATGTACCAGGGCTGTTGCGAATATTGGCATTCGCATTTTCAGAAAGTCGCAAAAAAGGGGTCATTGACGAAAAACAGGGTCGCCATATTATTTTTGCTTTTATGTACTAGTAAAAGAATAAATTGAGAAGAGTTACATTTTCCTTAAAAGTTTTAAGTGATGCATTTTTTCGTACTTGCAGGAGGAAATATTTTTTAATAGCATGGTTCTGTTAACATTTCCTAAAAAATCTCTGAAAAGGGGCAAAAGTCGCACATATTTTGGAAACGGGTCAAAAAATCAAAATTTTCAAAAAGTCGGGTCAAAGGGTATTGGCGCTTAAAAAGGGTAAAGTTGCCCCTTTATTCGCACAACGGCAATACTGCTAACCAGGGTGCGGCCAATAACCGGCTTTTAGCTTCAGGCGCTAAACGGTTATGTAGTATATTAAGCAACATTGATGTGCCTTCGACAAGTACTGCTAAAAGTCTTATAAGCAACCTAGAAATAGTTTTAGATTCCTCCAGCGAAAGCAAAGGCTCGAATGTAGAATCTGGAGACATTAAAAAATTTGAAATTAAAGCTCAATTGAAGGCCTCTCTCTCTAGTGGACAACTAAACTAAAATACGACAAATTGACAGATCTGGCCAAAATAATTGAGCGCTTCACCCGCCAGCTTTCCAAGTGAGTAATTGTTCAGTGCAGCCGGCCTTATATACGAGCCTCTAAGAAATCGCCTCATGGGAGAAAAGGCAGAAAAATTACTTTTTTTGAAATATACCTAATATGCCCCTTTTGAACTTTGACTACTACATAGTTTAAAATAATGTATAGGTTTAGTACTCATTCAATGTTCTAACAATTTACAAAATTTTTGAGTAATAAAAACGATGACTTAAGTTAATTATAGCTTGTTTAATGTTATTCCTAACATTCGCATTCGCACATTCGCATTCCGAAAATTCGCATATGACATTCGAAACATCCCTAGTATGTACTTATGAAGGTATGTACATACATATATAAATATGCATGTGGGAGCTACCTCCGTAAAAGTAGGTAGGTATCGAAGAATGTGTATGCATATTTTAAAACCTGATCATGACGTCGATTTTCAAGTGAACCACCGCTCATTGAAGGTTGACAAGTTTTATGCCGGCTGTCAGCTGTTCGCACGCTATTGTTACATATGGATATCGAATGTGTAAATTTTTTCAGCCTTTACATTATCAATTTACAGTGCCAAGTATTTGCATATATCGCACACCGTCTTCAAAAGAGTCACAACTCAAAATAATACGTTCGTCAGAAACTACAAAAAAACTATTTCGTAGTACATGCAAATCATTTGGGCAAGGGCGGCTTTACCTTAGATTCTTTCTAACAAATTATAACAAAAATTTTCTCCAGCTTTTGCTGAAAGGTAAATAAAAGCTCTGTGTATATTTTTAGCGCATAATTTAAAAAATGCCAAATTTTGAGTTGTGACTCTGTTGAAGACGGTGTGCGATATATACATACAGCTGTGTTCAAAAAAATAGTAGTGCCATCAAATAAGAAACTCAAGTGTTACACATAAAGGATGCATATAAAAAGGTTAAAAACGTAGATTCTAGATATTTCGAGGATTTTTAAAGTTTCATATATTAAAAATTTTGGTTGGTTTATACACTAGGGCTTAAGCAAAACACAAATTAACGAAGTTAAATCTCAAGATTTGCCTAATGTTTTCTACTATTTTTTTTGTTTATTTATGTCTGATAACGTGCATTAAATATTTTTCAGATTACGTTGGAAACATTTTTGATGTTCCAGGGGGCCGCTAAGATCCCAATAGCGTCTAATACGGATTTAAGCCCATTTCTCTTTCACACTTGGTTAGATCATTGTTTTTGTTAACAGATTTGTTCTTGTTGTTGTTATGATTCCTTTAATCTTTCCTCGCAGACTTTCTGACCTTTTAAGGCCCCCATATGGAACTCCTCTTTGTCTTATGCCGAGCGCTTTTGGACGCAAATAGCTTATTGCGTAGTTTACGTAGTACTAAATAATATGATTTTCAATAAAATAAAGTACATTTTTTATCAATAATTGACGTTGATCATAGAGGCTGAACAAATACCAAACCACGGAAAACATAACAATACCGTAATGCCCTGCCCACCACACTTCAACTTTTCTCAAATTGCACTTTTTATCAGTTAATACAAATAGGGCATTTCCACCAAGCCTTAACTGCAGTTTATGACGAACGGTATAATCGGTCATATTAAGTACAAGTAAACGAAAGTATGAAAGCAAAAACTAAGAAATAAAGATTGCCAATCACCGCATGTTAAAATATTTAGTACTTACCTGATCTCTTAACTGCAGTTAACCTTTTGGTGGAAATAGGCTATAAGACTCGATACCCTTAGTTTGACTAATTCATTAAGCTCTTTAGAACGGTTTTTCATACCTCTGCATCTTGCATCATGAAATATGATATCATTATGAAGAATTTCACCTTAAAATTACTTTCAGTTAATCAACCACATAGACCTACAACATTATTTGAAAGACTTTGCTCATTCGTAATCAATTTTGCGAAACCCGAGGAGGTCGCTTAGAATGTTGGTTCGCCCTGACTACCAGAAGTTTATTGTTGCTTCAGTTATTATTAGATGTAGAATAATGAGAATAGTGTATCCAACCATTTTTTCTGTTTCTTGGTATTCATATCACTTCGCGCTTATCAATAAAGAGATGCGTTTATCTTGACAATTGAAAAAGATTTACATTGAAAAATAGTCAAATAACCTAAAAACATCTAACTATGGAGACATCTTCATTTCCTTAAAATGTTTTAGAGCTTCTCAACTTAAGCACTACTACTTTTTGGAACAGCTGGGCCCGAATCGCGGCATTCGTGATTACAAAATGACAGCTGCTTTCTCCACAATACAATTAAAACGGACGAAGCACACTCAATATCGAATGCCGCGATTCGGGCCCTGGTTTTTGGTGCATATAGGGAAGTGGCTCATAAAATGCAAAATGAAACAAAAGTGTCGATTTGCTTTTTTCTTTCCTGTTTGTTATATTCTAACTTAAAACATTTTATCACAACTCTTCAAGTTGTAAAGCAGAACATATCAAAAAATAGCTTTTATCATATTTTTTTGAACACAACTGTATGTATGTAATTAGTTACATACATACATATTTACATTCATATTTGTGCAATTGTAGTAACGGCAATCTAATGCACTCCAAAGATATGTACATATCTGCTTAAATAATTTATATTGATTGATCGAAGTGCATATTTTCTTAATTTATTCATATTTATGTACATTTACATACATACATATATAAAGATTAATTATAGCATTGAGGAAAAGAGTGTGGTCGAATTTATCACACTGAAATCAATTCAATATGTAAATGTGAATCTTGCATTGAACAGGTTGTCAAGGTACTACAGGGCAAGTTATCATTTCATTTTTTATTTTTATGAACATCAGGAGCACTTTTAACAAACAATTCTATATTTTTGTTCTTTAAATTAATCTTTAGCTTTGCGAACGCTTTCAGTCGTGTGGCGGGATCTCTATAAAATATATAGCTTGTAGTTAGCTGCAAAAATCTAACTTGAGACTAGTTGAAAAATAATGCAAGAGTAATGCAGACGTAATCGGGAGATCGTTTTCTTTAAACAATTTTTTTATTTAGATATCCTCATACCAATTTAACTTTGAATACACTTTCTTTCTGCACTTCACAAATACTAATAATAAGTATGTACCTAATGTAATAAAATAAAGCCATAAATAAAAAAGTAAAATAAAAATATTAAAAAAATTTCGCTTTTTCTTATTGATATTTTATGTCGAAAAGTCATTAGTTACAAGTGAGTTGACACCTGACTATTTCGCGACCATCGCCATAGAAATATGGTTAGTTTTCCTCAAGGAAAATATACAGATAATAGTGATTTTTAGTTCGTTGCTAATCAACTTCAAGTTAACTTATAGTTAGATAGATATCCTTCAGGGTGCTTATACCCCACTTTAGTCTGTTTACGCGAACACTAGTGCTAACTATTAACTGCATATTTTGTTCGAAAAAAAAGCTAACTACTTTTTGGGGCGATGGCCACACTAATTTTGGAACTACATAACTACTTTTGGACATAAAATATCAAAATAAAACTTTTGGTATTTTTTTTTAATATTTGCACTTTTATTTATTTAATTTATATTTAACCTTGGATATTTTCTTACATATTCTGCTGTAAGTGGTCTCGTATTAGAATTGCGTCAGGCATAACTTCCAAATTATAATATAAAATTTCGATCTTCATTTTATTTGTCCTGAATTTGAAAAAGTATTTGTGGAGTGCAGAAAAAAAAAGTGAATCCAAAGAAAATTTTGGACGAGGATATTTTAATAAAGTGCTAAAAAAAATAATATTTCAATAACTTATTAATTAAACTGATTTTGAAATTATAAAGACGTGGCAACCCTCTTCAAAAATGTGCATTAATTAAGAAATAAAGTCTTCTTAAACTCGTTTTCTATAAGCATATTAAATAAATTGATTTTAGTTTGTTTATCGGGTGGCAGCCTTATGCAAAAATATTTTAAAAATAA